ACATCAGGGAACACTATCCATGAACGACACAATATGGAAAATGAACACACTGCAGATGTAAAGAAAACAAAAGCAGTTTCACTTAACAAATGCTGTTCTATTTGTCCAGACGATCGTGGTCCTCCAGAAATCGGATGAGAAGAGCAGCAATGTCATCGGCTCTCTTGTTGCCGGGAACATAAAGCCTTAACAAGGCGTACTATAGGATCATCTCATCACTGGTGATCAAGGCATCGCATGTATCACCTGCATTAACTTGTCACCATTTTTTTTCGGGCTGGTTTCAGTGAAGTTTCTTCATGTGTGAGTCCACAAAGATTTGAGACTTGAGATGAATCCTCATATGTTAAGTTCAACTTTTACAATTTAGTTTGGATACAACTTGTTGTATTTCTTATTTCAATCACAAGATGGTGCCATCATATTTAAAGCACAAACAGGTGACAAGTTAATGCAGGTGATACATGTTATGGTTTGATCACCAGTGATGTGATTATATTATAGGATGCCTTGTTATGTGTAAACATGTTTTTGGAAATGTAGAAAAAGTTGTTTGTAACTTAGACTTCTTCCTTCTGACTTCGTAAAAACCACTCCTCCTCTGGGTGTGTTTGTGTGTGTGTGTGTGTGAGAGAGAGAGGAAGAGCGAGAGTGTACTGTAGCATTGTAGTTGCCATCTGGTGGCTGTATTGTTGCAGTGCAAGTCAAAAGTTGCAAAGAAAGACAATACAGAGATTTTAAAGCCTGTCAAATTATTTTAATCAATATTAATATTTGCACAAAGAAATGTCCAACACCAGCAGAATGACTTAGTGGATCTTATTGATCCATGACAAAATGGAACAAATAACCTATCAAGACTGACAATGTGCAAACATGTCATTTGTTTGTGCATTTTATTTTTCCAGCTCAGGGAAAATGTTCATTGTTTTGCGTCATTTTCTTTTTTTGAATCATGATGAAAGTAGCATTGAATTCATTATATGTAATAACAAATTAATACATACAAATAATTAATTTCTACATTTATGAACACAATGTACAAGAAGAAAAACAACAAAGGATTGTCACCGGCCACTGTTTTTTATTCCAAATAAGTTACAAACAAACCCCTAGTATAGTAGTGTACTTAGGACCAAAACAACGTAGGTTTTGCTGTGTTCACATAGGCGTGTGAATGTGTCACAGTGTGTATATTACATGTGCGTATATTACACATTCATATCTACACACGTACACTCCTACATGTATGAAAGCAACAGCAACGTTCTGTGGTTTGGGCATCTGGCTGACACTTACACATTGGATACTTTTAGGCATATTTGGGTTTTCACGCCTAACTGACAAATATGAAACAGGACTCTGAATGACACAAATATAACAAGTAAATACATGATGTATACAACTAATGCAAATTAACCACAAACATGAAATATCAGATGAAATAGTCAGCATTAAGTGAATCTGTATCAATAACCTAGATAATTAACAAAAGCACAGGTAAATATGACTAAATCTATGGTTTAAATACACGTATACTGCCATCTAGTGGTAGAACGGGTGAACATTTACTTTGCGAGTCCTTACCGGCTTCACTCTGTGTTCACTAAATCAACACAATACAGTGGACAAACAAATATCAGTGCCAACAGCAACATTTCTGTGAACACAAAAATGACTTTGATTAAACTATATCACGAACTGTATTGCATCACTTGGTTTGAAACGAAAAACGAGAATACCATGGTATTTCCGTATTTTGGTTTTTCCGAATTAACGGTAAAACAGATGACTAAAACGTACACGGACCATGGTGCCACCCTCCTTCAGATGTGTGTTTGTGCTGCCAAGTTCTAACAACCCAAGCTTTGACCTGTCTGTGTGCAGACAATCGCTGAAGACTTCTGTTTGTACTATAATTTAATATAAAGTGACTTTCTGATTATATCTATATCTAGGTACATTCAGATACTTAATACAGGTTTAAATTTAAATTGATACTTGTCATGGTTAAAAGGGTTCATTCATTAAATGGGAATCCAGCCGAGGCAGTTGGTGCTACAATTATACACCCGACTGTGACCTGCTACTGCACAATTGTATTGCCAGAATGCTTGTTTCTAGTATTTTGTGTAATACTTTATAGTTCACAGTAGGTCTCCAAATGTCCTTGCTGTTTCATTTACATGGGCATGTAACTGAATTCAGATCAAATAATACACTCTTAGCTGATGTGAAGACCCTCTAAATCAGAGCAGTATTGTTTTACAATTCATCTTGTGTGACAGTGAGTTGCTGTTATTTTATGCATCCAAAAACTACCGTACTTCTCCCCAAAGATTATGTTTCACCACCCTTTCAATATAATTATTGAATCAATATTAAACATTTTAGTGTTGACAATTTTGGTTGTCTTGTTTTATAACACCAATGTGGGCATCTGACTACTGAGTACATTGAATATATATATATATACATACACATAAATATATAAATGAATAATGAACTGAAAACATTTTTCCACCTGTGTTTATTAAAATTAGGCTACTCTGCAATAGCTACACTTGATACACTTAACTTTACATTAACACCTTTCATAGACGCACTACAGATGAGACATGGTTTTTATTCTTATCAGTAATTTCCACAAAAAAAGCAATGCAAGCTTAAACTTTTAAAACAACCTTTAGCAGAAATGAAGACATATCTAGTCTTTTTTTAAACTCTTTTTCTTATGTCTGTAATGTGGTTCCTGTGTATTACTGCAAATCCGCTGCAATGACCTCAATAGACACTAGATGTCCTCATGAGACCACTGTGCACTCAGGCATTCAGCACCTCCAGCCAGAGACACCTCCTGTGTCTATCACAAGACATTTACAGCCTTAAAGCTTCATTACAGCCATTCATGTCACATCTCAGTCATCTCAGTACGATCACACCAGATACAGAAGATCCAGCTACATTAACAACGAGTCTCTAATCTGATGTCATCTTCTTTTTCCTAAGTCCTCTTCTCAAAGACCACACGGGGTCCCGACTTGCTCCCCCGAGGTTCTGCAGAGATGATCCAGATGGCGGGGGCTTGCTCGAAGTCCCTGTCAAACATCTTGTTCTCCTCGGCCCGGGCCATCGCCTCTAGTTCTGGGGAGGTTTCTGGGCACCAGTCTGCCACAAACTTATCTTTGGCCTCGCAATAGTTCACCACCACTTCCTCAGGCTGCACCCCGAGCACCCAGTCTAGAAAACAGAAAGAGAGGGAAAGAGGGACAGAGTCGATGCAAGAGAAGAGCTGTGAGTGATGATTCTTAATAGCAGAAACAGACACTTTGAGTATCTTAAAGGGAGGGAAGGACCAGTAGGCTACAGCAACACACCTGCAACGTCATGAATGAGGTCCTTGATGAGGTGACCGATGATGGCATAAAGAACACCGAGCACGACAAAGATGGCCATGATCAGGTAGAGGACATAGGTAGGCAGGTGGATAGCATCCCGAGAGGGAGGTATGTAGCTCTCAAACAACACCGTCCCATCGTCCTCCCTGTAACGAACATTTAAGTTGTCCTCCATCACCTCCGTTGCTGTCTGAGAGTCTTCAAAGCTGCTGTCAGCCTGGGAATCCACTTAATATCTCAGAGTCGTCGCTGTATCAAAAGAAGCCGGCACAAAGGTCTCATCTTACAAAGCGCAAAAGGATCAGGAGGAAATACTTCATTGCTTCACATGATGTAACACAATGAGCATACATTATACTTTCAACAACAGTTTTGCATGCAGAACGTGAATAAAAACGTCTAGATTGCAGCAAAGCAGCAGGCAACAGTCCTCCAATTCACTGGGTGTCTTCACACTCCTGGCAACACTAAGCAAGTAAACCTTAAATTAAAAGTACAGCTGCATCTTTCACCCTGACAAGTTTTTAATTTAGTTTCTCTGTACCTATCTGTTTGCTTGTGGAGCTACGCAGATGAAAACTAGATTAGCTGCAGCAGCTTGAGGTAGTCAAGGTCAGAGGAATGATGCTGCGAGCAGTTTTCCTCATGAGAATTTACCTGATGCATATAGAAAAGCATGGACATCTATCTATTTATCGTTCTAGGCCTGTGTGTCTATCTATCTATCTATCTATCTATCTATCTATCTATCTATCTATCTATCTATCTATCTATCTATCTATCTATATCATTATCCAATAGTATTTAATATGACTCATGTACAGTAATCCTTGACATAAATAAGGTCACTGCCCAGGTATTAGAGGAAGGTAAGATGGATTAAAGGACAAGGACAAGACATAACAGCACTCTTGTTTTATTCAGTTGTTTCCTGGAGAGAAGCTAAATCCAACACCAGAACAGATCAAACGGACATGTTTCTTCTTCCACGATACATTACAGCAAGATGTGTGACTTAACGGTAAAATGCAGGTTATGACCGTTTGACTGTTTGGTGAAGAAAATGCACAGCAATGACAATACATATGCATTTTGACTAAGCTTTCTTGATATTTTCATGGAAGTTATACATATATAGTCATATACATACAGTACATACATACATATATAATTTTTGGATTGAAATGTCAGTTTTTTAAATGAAATGTATTTTTATAGCTCACATCAACATCTTGAAGTTTACATGGTGCATAATTAAATTATTTTAGCATGAGGAAAAAACGTTTGGGCAGCGAACAAAGATGCACATATATTTGGAATGACTGACATAATGGGCCATGTTTACATACATTTTCAATAAGTAATCAAGGTAAGCATTTGTTTCTCAGCAAAATTAGTACAAACTGTAACTGTTGAGCAACATGTATTTTATATAAAACAAAAATGACTTAGCATTATGCATCACTACAGCAAAGACGCAACACTGATCACTGCACTGAAATGAGATATGCAACCAAAGCTGAATGCTAAAGTGGAAACTCAAAGGGAAGTGGCATAAGGGGTCACGGGGCAGGCGAAGGTCACACTATGAATGGATATTCGTTTTTCTCTGGGGTATGATGCCGGAATGGAGCATCTCAGTGGAGGAGGGACGGATGGACGATAGCAGCCTCCGTCTCCCTGGTAGAAACCGGGCAGCAGTCCGTCCTTTTCCATCTGCAGCCCGTCTCTCTCCATCAGCTTACTGCAAATGCTCAGTCGGCGGCGCTCTTCTTCTATTTCTGCTCTCCCTTCCTCTGAATCATCCTCCACTGGTTTGGGGCCAAGAATCCAGTCTGTGAGGAGAAAAACATGTTAGAATGAAAGTAAATGATTGTCTGTGACTTCTTAGTGTGTGTTTTTTAAAGGGGCACTCCGCCAATTTTACATATGAACTTCAGTTTACTTGTCATGGAGCCTGAGGATCCGGTGTTTTGGGGCCTAAAATTCTGAATAGTTTGGCCTCCCAACTTTGTGGAAGTGCAATCAAAACTCAGCAGAGTACTTTGTTACTTTAGCAGCACTCAAATTTGAATCCGTTTATTGGCAATCACCTTGATGGTATAACAAAGAAACTGTTGGGAAGGTTGACCTTTGCACACAAACCTCAGGGTTAATGTGAAGGAGAGTCATCAAACAACATGGTCACCCAAAAGGGGAAAAAGGCAAAGACAAAACACGGATGCAGCCTTGGCCCAAGAGCTCAAGAAGGAAAAGGGACTCAAAGACACCAGATTGGAGAGAGTGATAGGAAGGAGACACCAGCCGGGGGGTTACCTGCTAAGTCATGTAATAGATCTTTAATCAGATGTCCCACTACGGCATATGTGGCCACTATTACCAAAACCACCCCGACTAGGACATAGATCACATTGCGCGGCAGAGTTATAGCATCTCTAGCCGGCGGTATGTAGTCCACGAAATAGGCCTCCTCTTCCTTCCTCCTGGACAGCTGGAGGAGCTGTCGGTGCTCAAACACCAGCTGTGTGAGGTTCAAAAGCAGAGCTCCTCCTGAGGCGTTTAGGGAGACAACTGGTTGTTGGTTCATGGTTTTAGTTGCTTTGGTAAAGTTGTTTTTTACAAGTGGATACTGTCTTTATAGGATGGTGTGTTCAAGGAACGTGGTGAAGCTTTGGGGCTGTTTCTTTGGGTGATTTATTGTCTTCTTGCAGGTCCGAGCTCCTTTGCCGCACTGTGAAAACTTGAATAACGGATGGAAAAGGTGCATCAGAGACGAGGGGGGACAGTAAGATTTGAACATTTTATTATTTCCTGAAGTTGGGAAGAGGGATTGATGACAGATGGTTGAATAATGAAAACACGGTTCCTTGTCAGTGACAGCGCTTTGCCACAAAATAGTGCTTCAGAAAATCTAGTTCACCAGACAAGAAAAATGTGATACCATAAGTGTGCCAACTGTACTAATCTTTTGTCTAGACTTAAATCCCAGAATTCGTCCTTCTAGTGTTTTGGAGAGGGGCTCTCAGCCAAACTTCCAGGGGAGCGAGGAGTGTGAGATGGACCAGAGGTGAATATGGGACAGGCAGAGTTAATAGGATTGAGTCTGTCACAGGGCAATATCAGCTTTCCATCTGTAGGGATTAGAGATGGTGGACAGTAATACGGCAAAGAGGCTTATGGTCCTCCATGACTAAGTTGCATATATATATATATATATATATATATATATATATATATATATATATGAAACATACATTACAGTAAACCCAGTTTATCTTGGGTTTAAAGTGGCATCACTTTATGGATATCCCATGCTTTGAAATTATTCCAAGCACAGCAGGTCTACTTTTATATTCTGTATATTTCCTGTCACATAATTCACAGATATTTTCACGGCTCATTTCTTGCTTGATCACAGAGCAGATGCTGATATTTCAAAATATGACCAGTAAATATCGCCATGGGTATAACTACATCATCAAATGACAAAGAACAAACATATTGACTCTCTTTCTAATATAGGATGAGAAAATGTTGATGAAATAACGAAGTTTTAGGATGTTATGGTGAAGTTGTATGACTGCTTACCTCGTAGTCAAGACTACAGATACTGCTCCACAGATCTTTTCTTTGACTTGTAAATGAAAGGACTTCCAAATTGGCATGTGTCGTATACAAACGGCTCTGGAAATAACCACAAGCACAGTCCAGAAAGTTAAGGTCATGCAAACAAAAAGGCTCACCGAAGTGACTGCTCTATCACAGCAAACTCAAAAAAACCACAATCAGTGATGAAGTGGGCAGGTACACAGTGATCCAAAAATAAGCTCTCCTCCTCTCAGATCTTCTCGGTGGACCATCAGGATGTAAAATTATCCTCTACGCTTTAGAGTCATTGTCTTTTGGTGGCTCGGGAACTTTGCAAAACTGAGAAACAAGAAATTTCCATTCTATGATGGTGATGGCAACACTTGCAAAGACGATGAACCAAGAGACCGGGTGCAGACCAAAATAGAAGACGTGTGATGTCATGTTGTGTAGAAGTCGAAAGGATGATAAACTTGGTTGGAAAACAAGTCCTCCCGTAAACAAGGAACCAGATGAAAAAAAGGAAGAATGAACAAATTGGAAGAATGGGTGTAATGAAAAAGCAGTGTGATGTCTCTGAATGCGTCTGTCTGAATGTGATGAGGCTGTCAGGAGAGTCAGGCTGTCTGCGTCAGCATCAAGGTGTTCTTTAGTAATCCATGATAGGATTTGCTTGACACTGTCGCTGTCACCGGCAACAACTTTTAACTGAGTAAGCAGACAGCAAAACAGAAGACGGAGTTCATCAGCTGAAGTACCTTTTGACACTGAAGTGTGGTGCAGTTTTCTACAGCTGATTCACACTGTAAGCCACAAATCCGACTACAAGACAAACTGCAGATAAGCAAACATGCAATTTAATGTATTTTCCTGCACTAAAGTTTTAGAAAAATCTTCGGCATTACCTGTAAGACGGATTTTCTCTTTCACTTGCAGGATCCATTCAGTTCAGTAAAAGGTGTACGTTTAGTTTCCAAGTCCTCTCCAGGTGACACAGACAAGCAGATCCATTGCAAAATCAGACTCCACAGAAAGCACTAGAAGCTGAACAGCTCTTGCTCACTAAGCAAAATAAAAACCCAAGACACCCAATAAATAAGTCAGTCCATATTGACTGTGACTCCCTCAGGCCGGGGTGACCACCTTCTTGGGTTTGTCTTCTTGCTCCATCAGCCACTTGGAGTAAGCATCACTCAGCATGAAGGCCCAGTAGACGATGGTTAGAGAGGTGTTTACGGTCACAATGGCGATGATTAAAGGGTGTATCATTGCTGCAGACTGGAAGAACTCTTTTTAGGAATATGTGTCACCTCAAAAAACTGTGTCTGCTGTGTAAGCGAAGTTTGTCCGTGTGTCTGATTTAATCGCCTCTCTGTCCGTTTCTCCTCTATACTCCCCACCCCCCCTCCGCTCTCTCTTTCCACTGGCCACTAAGTTTCTGTGGCAGCAGCAGCAGCGTAATCCTCTTCCTGCCGCTTTGTTACAGAAGATAAAGTTGCATTAGATGTAGGCCCGCTTTACAAATGATCATCCAGAAGATGTGATGCATGATGCACATGCTCATTCTTCACAATATGCAGAAAGAAAAGCGGTATGAGACAGTATTTTGTGGAGAAACTGCTCAAAAAATGTAAGAATGACTTAAACAACCCCAGGGACTGAAAAAAACATAATCCTTGTTCTGAACTTTATGTTCTCTGTCAGATATAATCCAGAAACTAATCAAGACTGGAGACATCAGACGGAGGAGTTCTTAATCTTACACCAAACACGACAGATGGCTCCTCAATCGAGCCACAGGGGCCACAGGAGCCCAGACAACACTGCAAACATGTGCAGCATGACTCAGATTCTTTTCCTATTACAGACTCATCTCATCTACATACTATTCATGAACTGGATACAATTTGAAATCAGAAGCTCAAAGGTGTAGGGGAAAAGCCATGAAGGAAAGAAAGATAAACACGGTAAATTCCTCCACCAGGTGGCAGTCGGTACAAGCATACGCTGAATGGTGAACAACAGATTGTATGATTAGAGTGGTTCACAGCAGATAGGTTGAACTAATCAATTGCAGCCAGAAATATCAAAGTGCTTGTTTTCGGAATGACACACATTTTACGCATCACGCACGAAGTCCATTATCTGCACTTTGCATGATCTCCCTTTAAAGTTTCTCTCATCAGACGTGACTCCTCCCATGTTGAACTTTGAGACCTGCTAGATAGCAAACGCATTGGAGCAACAGTGTCGTTTCATCACGGGCTAAAAGGCAGTGGGGAGACACTCCATTTAATGACCTTCCGTCGGCGGCAGTGGAGAGGACACTGGCTTCTAACATGCCTCGCTTCACAAACAAGCGTGTTTAGCAGAGACACTTTGTATGTGGACATTTATTTCTAAGAGAAGTCAAACAATAACGTATCAACAATGAGGCCGCCGGTGGAAGTCTGCGTTTTGATCCTTTCTCTCTTGGCTCCTGGAGTTTTGTACGCCATGAACAACATCCCTGCGCTTCAGGAGTAAGTGTGCATGCCCTCTAATAACTTTACTGTCATCTTGGCCTGCTGTTTGAAGGCATTGCACAGTGGGCCTAAAGCCGCTCATATTAATAGGCTTATAATGCGGCCCACAGCCTGAGGGGAAAGGAGGTTTAGCGAGGGCGTGTTTATCCAGAGGTCAACCTCGTTTTAAGTTGCTGTTGAGATTCCTAAAGCCAACACAGACAACACAATTCATTTCAACCGTAAGGCTCAAATTTTGAAAATTTGAAAAGTAAAGACTTAACAATATAGTTTATTTACTGGTAGGGTCCTTTTGGATCTAAATAATGTTAAAAAGAAAATGGAGGATATATAATGAAATGATGTTATCTACAACCCATAATCCTTCATTTCTCACCTCCTTTTTCTGATGAAAGTATGAATGTATAATCAAGAATGCAACTAACAGTTTGATGATTTTTTTTCTATGACATGAAGATAACTTTCTAAAGCACAATTTGCAAATTGATGTATGACCTCCCACCATTACTCCTCAGACCTCTTCCTATCCTTGGAATGGGAATGGTCGTCCTGGGATTAGTTCTCATCGTCCTCCTCATCATTGTGCCGAACAAGATGAAAGTGGACCCTTTATTCTATGGTACAACCATATAACAGACACTTTAATCAATAAAATAAAGATGTTGTTTTTTCACTGTGCCTCTTCGTGTCTGTTCAGTATTTGCAGAGTTGTCCTTCACCTGCATGTTGGGCCTGACTAATGCTTTAGAGCAGGATGGGTTCATCTCTGGCTTCATGGGTTTCTACCTAAAGATGGTAAGAGGACCCACACTGAGTTAAACCTTCCCCCTCTCTGTCTGAGACAACTTCTCAATAATGGTTTGTATTTCAGACTTTTATATGTCTAAAGTTAAAATTCATCATGTGATGCCTTCTCTTCAGGGTGAGCCTCATCTAAGCACCGCCTATGCTGTGATGATGTCTTACTGGGAAGGCATCGTTCACTTGGTCCTCTTCCTCACTATCATCCACCGCATGTTCAAAGGGTAAGCTGTGGCATCACCGTCAGAAACCCGTCCGCCAGTTCAGTGAGTCGTCTGATGAGACCTGTTGATTTTCTGTCCATCCAGGAAGTCCTATCGTAGCCTGGGGCTGCTGTGGGCGGGCTCATCAATTGCCCATCAAATTGTTCACATCCCAGGGGTGGTCATTGGTGAGAGCTGCCTACGTTTGATTCATCACATCCTCCATGTTGTTTGTGTCTGTTTCTCTTATTGATCTTCTCATTTGTGCAGGTAAATACGCGTCTAACATCCGACCAGCCTTTTGGAGCAACGTCCCCTTCTTCTTGGTGCCTTTCTGGGCGGCTTCGCTGCTCTTTAGCCGACCCAGAGAGATTCCAGTCATCCCAGCAGACAAGGTAAATCTCAGCAGTTCAGACATTTATATTATATTATGTGTATCTATAGAGAAGTGATGTCCAACCCTTGTCCCTTTTTAGATTGTTTCATTTGAGCTTTTGTCAGAGGACCGAAAGGTAAATCAGTATACTATTTATCTTTGCAGTAAGAGAGAAAGTGAAGACATTTATGTGTTTTTTTCCTTTTTCCTCACTCTGATAATAGTCTCGCGACCCCTTGTCTGGGTCCTGACCCCCACGTTGTGGACCTCTGCCATAGGGGATCAACTAATTTGTGCTTATTTACTTGATATTAGCCTGTATTTGTTAACAACTGGGCATTCAATTGTAAAAAAAAGAAAAACATGAATAAAGACAAATAAAAATGCAGTCCAAGCAAATCTGCCTATACTGGTCAGACTTTAATGACCACTTGAAGTAATTTAAGTGATTGAATATGGCACATTTACTGAGATTTTTCCTGTGTTGACTAGATTTCAGCGGAGCAGAAGAAAGGTCTGCTGTCTCGACCTATTGACCTGCTTCTATCGATTCTGTCACTTGGAGCAATGGCCTTCTGCATATTCAGAGGCTTTGTGAGTAAAACTACATGGAAGCTTTTGAATCTGTCCAACATTTCTGCTTCTGAATGAACTCCCTGAGACGTGAGGTCACATGTGGAGTACGGATGCTATAACTCACTCCTGCTGCTCTGCTCCAGGTGGTGCTGGACTGCCCTCTAGACACCTGTTTCACCTACATCTACCAGTACGAGCCCTACCTCAAAGACCCAGTTGGCTTTCCGAGGGTGATGGTGCGTCCTGAGAAAAGCACACCGCATTAAACCAGATATACTCAATATTCTGGTTCAAAATGATAAATGATATTTTTGTGCATCACTCCTGCAGATGCTGGTGTATTTGTTCTATGCTCTGCCTCTGCTGACTGTCTTCACCTATGGTCTGAAAACACCTGGATGCACCTGGATGTTGGACTGGACCATCTTCTTTGCTGGGGCCATGGCTCAGGTAACTGATTGTTTATGGCTTTGCTGTTACTTATATTTATATTCCTTGAAAAAGCAAAATACAGCATAAAAGCTGACTTCCTCCTGCTGTTTTCTCAGACCCAGTGGTGCCATATCGGAGCATCTCTGCACTCCCGCACTCCCTTCACATACCGAGTCCCAGCAGACAAATGGTGGCCTGTTATCACCCTAAATGTGCTGCTGGCTGCCGTGCCGGCTCTGCTGGCCCTGCGCTGCCACACCAACCCCACTTATTTTATGAAACCTGTTCCCGAGGGACAGACCAACAACGGGAAGAAGAAGAACTAGACCACACACCAGCCACAAACTATCGAGGAATACTTCACGCTGAGACACGGCTCATGTTTTCTGGGGACTCTCTTTGTCACACAAACTGCATGAAACGCAATTTTTTAACCTAAAACCCAAAGAAAATCTAAAAACGTCACTCAACTGTTCAAAATAAGTCACCTCAGGCAGCAGTAGCACTCCCTGCATGAACTATTGGACTCTGATAAGAAGGCAGTTGATGGAGTTGAGGACTGTCATCAGCTTTCAGGTGACTCATGCAGATATCCAGTTGGTATCTTCCCAAACTGAGACTATTGACCTGGATCATACAGTTTGGCAACACCACTGTTTCGATCCACACCACAACTCCACAGCTTGAAGTTTATTTTTACATATCTAAAATTGACAGTTTTCATTGTTTAAAAACTAAGTACCTTTTCAGAAAAATATTCACTGATTGCTTAAAAGGCTGAATAACTAAAAGTTGCTGATAAAGAAGATAATAGTCGATGCTAATTAAGCGGATAATTAGATGATGGAAAAACTCCACCTGGTGCCTTTATATTGTATAAAATATTTGATGATGAACATGACATTTTCAAATTGTTTGTTTTGTTGGAACAACAGTTCAAAACCCAACAATATTCAGTTTACAATGATATAAAATGGAGAAAAGCGGCAAATCCTCAAACTTAATTGATTATCAAAATAGTTCTGTCCACCAACTAATAGATTAATCGATTTCAGCTCTTGTCGTGACTGCATCTCAGTGTTGTTTTTTGTTTCATGTGCCACTTTCTTTTGTACAATAAATAAAATGGAGCATTAAATTGGGCTTTTTTGTATTATAATAGGATACAGATTACGTGAGCCATGTGTGAATGTCTTAGATTAAGTCTGTCTTTACTTCCAAAAGTTGATCATAGATCTAATGTTGCAACCTGAGCAGATTGTGCCTCATGTGCTGTGAACTGCTGGGTCAGTTAACTCTGCTTTCGTCAAACTGATAAGAGGTGGACCCTGGATTTAGGTGAGCCACAACCACACAAATGATCACCTGACACGTCGGGTCAGCTGTCCATGGCCCAAACATTTCTTTGTTTTTGGTTCCAAAGTGTCATTTTCGTATGGCATATCGTTTTCACATGGTGGATTGAAATTGTTGTCCTTCTTTCTCAGAGGTTGTGGTCTGAAATTCCCATTTTGTAATTTAAAGTTACACATTTTCCCATTAGACTGTAGTCATGGCAGAGAAGAGATAAAGTTATAGAAAATTAGCTTTTAGACCATCATGTCGAAAAACACTGGGATATGCAAGTGGTTTTAAATGACTAAAGATTTACAAAAATAATGAATTGATTAAACATAAATATCCAGATAACAAAGGGCCTGCCTGGGCTTTTTACACAGAATTGAAGAACCATAAATAGATTTCTGTGGATTAACTATCGGATTAAACTTATTTTCTATTTATTTATTTCCAACATGCAACAAATAAGTAAAAAAATACTAAACAAGATGCACAAGTAAAATTAGCAGTAAATATAAAAAATAAACAAATTCTCATAGACGACGTGTAACCCTCATAAATTTATCCGAAAAACCGATTTAATTGTGGGGTTTATATTGAAGTTTTCTAAATATCCCAGAGACAGCTCGACAAGCCTGCAGAAAGGGAAACGCAGATTCTGTCGAGATCAAGGGAGGGAAATAGTAGAAACTATTAATGTAGAAGTAGAACAAACAGTCGTGTACAAATAGGCTACGTGTATTTTGCTAGCTTAAACTGCATTGCGCCTCGTGTTTATTTTCATGACGTGAGTGAATGAAAAACTGTGTAAAAGAAACCCAGTACTGTAGGAAATACTGAGTAAAGAAAACAACTGTGAGTTCTGGTGTTGTAAGCACTTCATTCTGCAAAGAGAGAGACGAAGGATTAAGAACAGCAAATCAATATCTGCATATTATAAAACACATTTACATCAATTTTCATTGAAACACAAAAGTTTCTTGATCAATGTAAGTGCCTGAACAGTGCCAACATACCATCATATCTTAAGAAAAAGTAAAGTGTCTTCTTTTGACAACTTTGTATGTAAAAGCCTCTTTTTAAACAATAAATACATATTTTGATATGTATATTGCTTTGAGGTTTAGAGCAGATATTAGGGTACTCTAAGTGTAAATTTGAACTAAATCCTTTTTGCTGTATGGAATCTTTTTGTTATAACCATTGGAATTATAATTCTGCCCCTGGTTCATCCTCTGGGGACCATAAATATCTACCAATTGTTACGGTAAGCCATCCAGTCGAGATATTTAAGTCTGGATCAAAGTGTTACTAGCATCGCTAATAAAATGTGCATGTGTGAAGCCGAAAACCAGTTGATGTTTTGTTGGCTTAAATACAAAATTAAAAAAATACCAGAAATGCTGTTGTTCATTTTCTCACTTTATTAAGAATGGAATACAACAGCAGGACAAAAAGTCATAAGAACACCAAAAAAGTGGATGACCAATCAAATATCAAAGAGACCAAAGACAAAAACAAAAGTGACGTACCCATCAGGTAAATATAGCCGTGCAAAGATTGAAAGTATTTAGCAATTCAGATACAATCAGGTGGTTATCTCAAGAAAGTATTGTGTAATCCCATCCTCACTATCTATGTCAATGGGACATATTCACTAGCTGAGAGGGCAAGACAAGGTCAAGCTATTGATCAGGGACCAGCCAAAAACAAACACCACAATATTTACAATACAGAGATTAGATGCAATCTAATGATGAATTAAATTTATTGTTGATTGTTTGATTTATGTACTGGTATAGAAAAAGGTTGTTACATTGGCTCTCTGAAGTATAAGTAAAAAAAGAAAGCATATTCACTAGCAAACAATTCATAATAAATAGCAACATAACACAAAAATAGCAAATATTAGAAAAAGCAAGTGAGTGGAGTAAAACAAACTATTCAGGGGCTCAATGGAAAAAGTAACAGCTACAGTACACATACAAAAAGCTCAGGATCACCGGGGACTGAATGCTAACTTCCATCAATTACATCTGTGCTTTGCTAACAGAACATTAGGATGAGAGTCATTTTTCAGGTAGAACAAGCAAATATTTGCGACAACAAAAAAAGTGACTCCGCACTTTTCTAAGTTTCTCTCTTACATGCACACGCTCACACACGCTCACACACAGCTGTTAGTCTGACCGACAGAGAGGGTTTTAGTTCAGAGACAGGAAGAGGATTTACTGTATCGAGATATTTCAGAGGGAGGCGTTAATAAGAGTTAGTGTTATAGTTAGTGTTCGCATGGACCTCAGTTAGCAGGGTAAAAAAAAAAGAAGGGATAAACTGTATGTTAGTGTAATAAAACCTTATTGATCAGGAGAAATAAAGTAGAAATAGAAGTAGGAAAAGGAATGGAAATGATGTGGACTACTGTCTTTCTTTATGGGCCATGGTTAGCACCTAGCCTTTGAAGAAGGTTGTGTTATTTGGTTCAGTAGTAGCTGTGTGTGTCCTCTCTGGCCTTTTGTCCCTCTACTCCGTGTCTCCTGTGTCCGTGGCGTTCGTTGTGCTGATTGTGGTGGTGGCGTCGGTACCGGTGTGACCGCCGGGCTAAACGTGGAGGGAAACAAACAAGTTTTATGTCTTACATGTACTGTAGTAGATGCACAACTATCTTCTGTTTCTTGCTTTCTTTGCACTTCTCCGTCACATATTAAAATATAAGGTGACTAAAAATGGCAACCATATTTTCCGTTGTTGGCAACCAAAAGCTGATGCCTGGTTAAGTCCTGAGTGCCGTTACCAACCTTTACTTACATGAAACATAGCAAAGGTTTAAACTAGACATTGAACACTCACACTTTGTGCAGATGATCCTGGGTCTCTCCCAGCTCCCGTCGGCCCGGCAGCGAGCAGTGGGGATGTGACGCTGGAAGAAGCCCTCGGAGCACTGGTAGCGTACCACTGCATGGATGTCATAATGTGACCTTCGCCGACCTATCAAATGGGCGTTCTCCACTGCGGGCGGCGTCCCACACAGCACTGCAGGGAATCATGAAATAAAGCCATCGTAGAGATGAGAGGTATATACAATATCTATTTCTCATCAATCCAGACGTGCATATGGTGCCAAAGGTGTGTATGACCCTCCATGATGAAATAGCTAGAATATTAGTGTCAACTTGTTACACTTATTATGAATCTTTTAAGTACAGATACTACAAATATTAGTGCATTTTCTATACTGCTATTGACCAAATTCAATATTGCAGGTGTGCTTTGCCTCTAGATGGCAGCATTGTTGCTGTATCTGCATGTGATTTGAGGAGAGGCCAGGAGGAGGCGATGGGTCTCTGCAGCAGACAGGGAATACAGCCAAGCCACAGAGCCACGAGGCCGCAGCCAGATACTTAATCCTTTTCTCCGTGTCCTCCTCCATCCTTATCCATCCTTTTCTAACTCCTGACCATCCTCCGTTTCTCCAGCATGTTCCAGCCTTTAGCTTTCTTCGCATCCTACAAGCTCTCGCTGCATTCACATTCAGGTCGGCTGAGTCGGGTCACAGAGGGAAGGTGTGGGAGACGATTAGGAAAACTTGGCAAACTGGCTTATTTCCTATTTGTGGACGACGCAGTAATTGGCAATAACTGCAACTAACGGTTCTGCTGTCTGGACAAGTGTAAGAGAGCCCAAGGGAGATTCGGCAATAAAGAGAAGATTGAGATTGATATTGCTCTCGAAAATCAATACAGGTTTGAGACTGACTCACAATCTTCACTTATGTTTGTGTTTGTTGTCAATTTTTTTGGAGCATCTGCGGCTGTGACCTTTAAGGGAGAAAAGATGCAAATGACCATCCGCTGAATCTTTTCTACACAAAGAGCACAAGAATTGATGATGAGCAATGATGACTAACAGGTAGCCAGCTGGTCAGTGAGATAACACAAGCACGATGTATGAAGACAGCAACAATCTCTCCTTATGAAGTGATTAAGCTTAGATTTGATGGGAGAGTCACACTGGACCTGAATGTGCAAAACAAGCTATTGTTCATTTGCACATTTTGCGTGCTGTTTGGTTAGATTGAGATCAGCAGGATTTCAGTACCTGTGCCTTTCTTGCAGATGTAGGGCAGGTTGTAGTTGCAGGGCACGTCGTTCCACTTGCCGTCCTCATGGGCAATGGTCACCACACAGTCCTCCCCGCCTGCAAAGAAGTTATCTGGCTGGCTCTCCCTCCAGTTTTCATATACCTGCACGACAGCAAAAACAGTTGCTTTCATTTGTCAGCACCATCAGAGTTAGTCTCCTATCTTTTCCCTTGTAAAAGCAATGATGAACACTTTCAGGGAAATGACAATTGTTACATTACACATGAGATTTCAGAAATTGTAATTAAAATGCTCAAAATTAAAACAAGTATCTTACTATGAGCAATGGGTCCTTTATGAACACAAATCTTTCTGGAAATGTTAAGATGTCTCTATTTGTGTTTTCCTATGCGCTCTTCTCACTGGTTTGAAATGCTTCTGCCCAGCTAATGATTGAGCAACATTTGAATCATAAATCTGATGCCAGTTGTGGGTTGTCTGCTGTTGTTGGAAGGCTGCTCTCTATAAAACCTGATCAATTGTTTCAATCAATAATAACTGATGTAGTTTTTCTTAATGCTTACAAAAACTTTGAAGGGGCCTTAAAGTTGGAGTTGGAGATTCTCACATAACAGCACAATTCAAAAGTGATCACTGACCAGGTCGTTGCTGTCGGTCCACTGAAAGTCTTCCTCCACTGTGCGGTCATTCAGACCGATCCAGGCATTGTCATGACCCAGACCTGTAAAAGACAACAGCACAACTGTTGATACACTGATCTGTTTTTCTTCTCCTTCTTGTTTATTCCACCGTCTTTTATCTGTATTATTTCACTACTGCTTCGTTCTATTTGTGACTTCCTGTCTCGTCTTGCTTTGTCTTCCATGCTCTCCCGACATCATACATCAAATTAACAACTCAGAAAGACTATGGAAATAACTAAAATTAACTTTTAGTGACTATACTGTTTTCAGTTTCAATTAAATGCATAACACCTCCCCTTTGCTATCCGAGATGTATGCTATATGTTTATTCTATTTTGTTTCTGAATATTTAAACATTTGGTATTCAAAAATCATTCAAGTGTCTGATGTGTACTGCAGATTGTTTATGACAGAAATACACACATACCGTTGATAAACTCCTGCTCAGTAGCTGAGATGACGCTACTGAGGTGAGCACTGTGCTCTCTGCAGTCTTTCTCTGCATCCTCCCAGGTGTGTCTGTGGGTGAAGTACCTGTGGGACAGTGAAAGTGGATATGAAAATGCATATTTCATACCTTACGCAGCAAGACAAGTTTAAATGGTACAGAGCGCTGTGGTAAGTATATCACGAATAACTCCAGGGTATAAAAGAGTAATGCAGACAGATGAGGCACCTGTGGTTGCAGTTAAATATATCTATTTTAACAGCAGAGACAGTTTTTCATCATTTTTACCTGTAGCAGTGGCCGTGGAACTTCCTCCAACCGTGCTCGCAACCTTCTACATCTGAAAAGATGAAGAGAAAACAGAGAAGATGTGAGAGAAGCTAAGATCATTTATTGAAGGGCACGTAAAAGCGTAGTTAAAGAGCAGGGACACAAAGTGAGATAAAATGCTCTGTAAGATGGGAGGAGAGAGGAAGCTTTCTTTTACCGAGCGTTGCATCCCATTTGGCAAATAAAGACAAAAATATATGACTCTAGCATCTTGAGAGGCAAAATACATGAACTAATTAAACAGGCTCGTTTTCAATTCACAACACATGTGGCCCTCTGTCTGCACTATTAGTATTCATTAATAACATCAGAGCCAGTGTATTAATTTATAACAGCACAGGTTAGATATTCATTCATTCTAATTACTACTTTATGGCACGCCCGCACGCACACGCACACACACGCACACACGCACACGCACGCGCACGCGCACACGCACACGCACACGCACACGCACGCACACACACACGCACACACGCACACACACACATGGAGAGCAGATCTGAAGCTGGAGGAGGCTAAAACAGTGAGGTGATGAATCAGCGCTTATGTGCATGTTGGTTTGAGTGTGGGGTGTGAGGGGTGGGGGGGGGATTAGAGCCACCTAATACACAGACACACTTGTGAGTCTTGCCTCGTATATATTATATATTATCTTCTCTGTCCTTTTTAATGTCCCTCTTTCCCATTTTCTTTATTTGACAAAGAACTTTTTGTCTTTTGTTTTGAAAAGTGCTATTTTAATAAAGTTTGCTTGCCTACTTCCATTTGATCCATTTTAGGGAAGCAAGAAAACTCCACAGGGCATCTTTAAACTACACACAATAGATCATACAGGTACAGCAATAATCTATAACCACAAAAAAAGTATTACTATCACACCAAACACTTCAGACTTGCTTGGAAAACAGTGTCTTGTGCCTGCAGACTTTCAGTCATTATCTGTTAACCTGTAGGCCTGTGACACACACACACACACTGCTTAGAGATGCATCTTTGTGATGTTGTGTTATGACATACAGCTGTAACAGAGACGCTGCACACTGATCAAGATCATTTTCACCAGCACAGTTTGCAACAAACATTTTACTGCAAGATGACCGAGTATCTTAGCAAGTTCGCCGCTGTGGCTGCACATACGACAATGTGCTGAATTTGTTGATGCAGTGTTCTCATTCTCACCTTTCTCACACGTGTCTCCTCCATAGCTGGGCAGGCAAAGGCAGAGGAATGAATCAATCTTGTCGATGCAAGTGCCTCCATTTTCACATGGCTCAGACTGGCAGTCATCAACATCTGTGAAAAAGGAATAAAGCAGCAAGGGTTGCATATCTCATTAGAGTTCAAATTAACAGGATGTATTCTGCTGATCATGTTGTTCATAAAGAGAGAAACAAACTCTTTAGTCCTGATTTTGAATGGTGAAATTGTCCATTTTGGTGAGTACAGTGTGAGTGTGAGGAGAATACAGACAATCCCCTTTACCTTCCTTATTTGTCCTCATTCTCTCACTGAGGAAGACACTTCAAGTGTTATTACATCCTTCTTCATGCATTTACAGTAAAGAGCGTAAGGTTGACTTGATTTATGTCTAATCTCTTCTTTTGTCTCCTGTCCTTTGTCTCCATTTACAAAAAGGCTGCATGAGGGAGAAATAGCACTTTGCATTGCTTTTCCTTTAAAGCAGTTATAAATTTGGTGGTCTAATCAGCAGTGAGGAGAAACCTGACCAGAGGATTTAGGTTCGAGGCCCCCATTTTGGCAGCCATCCACAATGCAGAAGAAGCAAAGACAGATGCCAGCTCCAGCGCTGCTGTGCTACAGTGCTGTCTAACCTCTCTGAAAAAAAACAAGAAAAAGGAACATCTCCTCACAGGGATCGATAGAGTATCACTTTATCATTGTAAACAGAGAGCATCTCATTTTCTCTCACCACTGGGGGGTTTGTTTTGGACCCATAATAATAGATATACCCCAGGACTGCAGAAATCTATTAAAACTCACAGCAAGAGAGCAAAAACAAAGCTCCTTATACATTTTAATCATTCAGTCAGTGGCTGTAAAGAGCTAAATGTGTCAGACAGATCAAACTAGAATGACCTTTAGCCTCATGAAATATCTGCTTCAGAGTGTTGTCACTACACACAATGAGGGTTGGTTGCAATAAGGCTTAGTTTGTAATCTGAACTAAATTGTGGTTTGTCAATAAAGCATGTTTCAGGGTACAAGTGAGGCAAATTAAGTTTGTTTTTCTAATCCAATTTGTTTTAGATTTAACTTTTTCTTTAAAATGTTTAATGTTTGATCTAACTTTAATCCAACAGCAAAAACTGTTGCTCGTGTGTTTCCTCTCAACAGGCTTGAAGTTGAGCGATCGATCAAACAATGTTGTTTGTCCGTAAGATCGTAGCAATTTAAGAAGATAAGAAGTAGTCTTCCTTGACAGCTTGGTTCATTGGTTTAAATCCCTGAAAGCCACTCTGTGTGGAATTTGAAAATGTCAACTTTAATAGAGGAATAACACTGTGACATTACAATTTGGTATTAAATAGATCTTATACTTACAAAAAACTTAGATGTACCAACGTGATTTATTAGAGATGAAATTAAACCATGTGGGTAGAACTCAATTCAAATTGTGAATTTAATCTCCACAAGAGAGAATTTATCTGGAAATAATCACACATGAATGTGTTTAACCGAAAAGTGCAGAGATTGGATTTCCAAGTAAGTTTTTTTCACATTTATTTTTTCTCAACGCATGAGAAAACAAGAACATGTAATTCCTCAGGCCTCAAACTTGTCATAAAAAAAAATGTTAAATGGTTTGTGTATTACCAAAACCTAGCTTATAACTTTAATATTGTTATATAAATATGAAAAAAGCTAATGACGACCTTGAATGACGTCTCAATGTGTTAGTTCATAGTTAAACACACGCCATCAACTCTCTCCTTTAAAATCAGTCCAGCTCTTTGTTGTTCAACGCAAAAAGTCTGATCCGCTCGTCCCTCTCAACCATTATGCAGAGGGGAAGCTGCTCCTCAGAGAGATAATACTGCAAATTCTGCAAATCCATAACAAAGCCCTCCAGCATACCCACACATCAGCTGCTGGCTGTCAGTTCAATTGTCCATCCATGTTTCTCCATCCGTCCATCTTTCTGTGACACTGAACAGATAAAACTTGGCACTCGGTAAACTTTAAAGGTAGAGCCCAAGACGGTTTTAAATATATATATGTATATATATATATACTGTGTTAAATATATATATATATATAAGGTTTGTTGTATAAGCTTGTAGCTTCTTGACCTCTGATGTCACACTTTTTATTATATGGATATGGATTTTGGGAAGTCTTATGGCGCTAATAAAACAAAACAAAAATGTGTTACTGTATGTGTTTCACGCATTACCTCCCCCAAGGAGGTCATGCTTTAGTTTTCTTTTATTTGTTTGTTTGTTAGCAGGATTTTGGGAAAAATACTGGCCTGGTTTTTATGAGACTTGGTCGAGTGTAGCATTAAAATCTGAAGCGGATCAGAATCATGGGTCTTACACAAACTACAGACATTTAGAATAGTCACAGTACAGAAAGCACTACTAACAATAAACAATTTCTCCTATGAAAACGGCCTTTCAAGCCCAGTCCTGAGAAGATGTCTAATAAGAAGAAGTGAGTGAATACATCTGGGTCTGTCATGGGCCTTTAGATCAGGGGAAATTATTTAAACAATAAATAGCAGTAGAAATACTGACAGTCCATGGCTGTGTTTCATGTATGCTAGTGTGCTGCTGCTTGTTATGTGGTATTGCTCAAATTGATTGCAGTAGGTCCACTGTTGAAATGATTGAAATGTAAACCATAGAAACACCATCTTCTGATGTTGAAGCCCGGTCAACATTTATTGTATGTTATGTGACACTGTCTCTCCAGTCATTTCCTGCCTGGCTCTATATTATTAACCATCCAACAAAAAGCAAAGGAGTACAAGAGGCTCATGAGGCAGCAGGTCCTGTCGTTGAGATGCTGAGTGGAGATGAGACAGCATGTCTTTTCAGAGCCTGCACAATACATTTTCCACTTCAGCTATAATAAGCCAAATGTGATTATTGGTCTGTTATCTTTACAATGCTGTTGGTACCCATAAGATTTCGTTTACATGCGGCATAAAGCCTATCGATATAAGGCGTAATGCGCATCTGCCGTTTGTGGTCAAGTTTTGAGGTGCACCCACTGACCACAGTGTACGCTGGTTATTTGCAGATGTTCATTCTCACCTTGAAGACACAGGATCACATCTTATCACATAACATAGAGTTACACCACATAATTCAGACCTGACCTTACTGTGCTACAGCCAAACAGATAGGAAGAACAACAGGGGAATCACCCCGAAGACAGAGAGAGGGAGGAAGTTGCATGTAGATAAAGAAGAATTGATCGAGAAGATTTAGAATGTAGATTCTGTCAGTCCCTCTTTGTCTTGCAGTTCATGCAGGTCACAATAGGTTGTGTGTCTGCTGGCCCTGACCTCCTGTAGTAAAATGAATCTTATCTCTAACCTCTGAAGGTGTAACCACAAACGACAGTGATCAGCACCTCTCAGCCATCTTTGTACCTGAACAATGATATATGTCCTCCTTCCTCTGTTAGTTGCTGCTTCTGTCAGCAACATATCATCAAATTCTGTGAATGGATTTCTGCGAAGTTTGTTGGGCATAAAGGCCTTCGGGTGAGGAACAATTTATTTATTTTTGTAGAAATCCTTTAACCGTTAGGTATTTTTGCAGGGACAAGAAATCAATTGAGCTCAAAAAATGAACTGACTGTAAGCAGATACTTATTTCTTTGCTCCATGTGACTACTACTACAGGAATTTAGTTTGTAAAGAAGAACCTCGGCAGTGAAAGCTCCCAATAGTTTGACAGTGAAGGACCAATATCATCGCCCTGCTGTCGAAGGTCTGATTATAACCTTTGACCCCAGCCCCCATTATAAGTCCTCCCTCACTGTGACGCACAGCTCGACCTTTGACCTGCCAATAGGCCATTGGAGAGCCTTACGTCAATATGTATTAAGGCAGGGCTGACATTATCGTGACTATGTGTGGATACTTGCATGTGTGTGTGTGCTTGTGTGGGATGTGTGCGTGTATGAGTGTGTGTTTGTGTAGGCATCACTCACCAATCTCACAGTTCTCCCCAGTGTATCCTTGTGGGCAGTAGCAGCTGTAGCCCGTTCCCTGCGGGAGGCACTTTCCTCCGTGCAGACACGGGTTTGTCACGCAGGGATCCAACTCGTCTACAAGAGACAGACGGATGGAGGGAGGAGGGGAATGTTGGGATTCAAAATGAGGGAGTTGATTGGTGATACTGTACAGGAGAATGCTTTTTCTGTGTGTAGATGGGATAAATTTTGGCCGAGGACAAAACATGTGTATCGAAGCTCACCAGCTGAATAAAGCTTAAATATTTATGTCCATGGTGATCTTCTGAAGTCAGATGGTTTTAACACAATTTTCCACTCTCACCACTTCTAGAATTTTAAATGAAAAGCAAAAAGGCATGACTCAGAAAAAAATATGCTATGCAGCTTAGTCAAAACTAGCGGTTATAACACACAAGCATATCCATTTCACACTCTGTCTCTTTTCAAAGGGATCAGAAGCCAGAGAGCCTCAACCTCGCCATCGCCTCACAGCCACAGTTGTCATGGTTACCATATGGAAAGCGAGGACTTGGCTCAGTCCACCGAGCATAGTGGGCAGCGTGAGAACTTCAGACATTAGCCATCCTCAACAGAAATGAGCAGACCTCCCGCTGAGGGCCTCGGCCCCGCTATTCACCCCCTAAATGTGTGCGTGTGTGTGGTCTCCTTCCACAATTACACATTTCCATATCAATTGACACACTACCACGTGTTTCTCCCCCGAGCCGCTCATTATAGCAACTTAAGGTCTTTGGAAACCACCACTCGTTCATCCTGGCCGCAAAAGCTCAGCTGTGGGAGTCTTTGTTCTGCCAGCTCTCTCTGACACCGAGGACTGCTTAGGAGGGGGTGGTGTGTATGAGGTTGACAGTGTGTATGTGTGTAGGTTTGTGTGTTTGTGTTTACACGGTACGAAGAGCGAAAATGTGGCTGTGATTAGCCTTGAGGCTGATCCTGTCCAATAACTACCCAGAGGCAGATATCGACAGCTCACATCCTCTGAATTATCATGATGTCGGCTGCTGTGTTGGGCAAAATAAATGTTGACGGATAAAAAAATAATAAAAAGAAGGGTTTTCAATCAAAAGAGCAAGATTTCTCAATAGCTTCCATAGATTTATGTTGAGTTTTGCCATGAGCCAATCCTCTGCTCTTGGTTTGCATTCTGCTGAAGTCAGGTGCTAAAACCAGCCATGCATTTCCAATCATGTACATCAGTCCAGGCCGACGTTCACTCGCACCCTCCGCGTCAGTCAAGGTCATGGCACGCCTTGACAAATCCCAACTGTTATGACAAGCAGATTTACTACAGCATGTGTGTGTGTGTGAAAGATAAACTCTGTGCGATTGGCCGTTCATTAAAGCGAGTGGTGCAGAAAAATCAATAGAAGTCGGTAGAAGGAGTTGACAGAGTGGACTGTCCCTCGCTTTGCACAGCGGCCGACACCACCGGCACAAACAACAACAATAAGCTGGCAACAGCTAAATCCAACTAATAAGTTTACAGAAACAGCACAGGAAGATGATAAGTGGCAGAGGCAACGTTGGGATACCTTAAAGTATTAATCCACACATCACACGTAGCCTTTGCTTCGAGTAATAAAAGCTACAGTGGAAATATGGTTCACTTTGGAAATATGATTTTCCGATAAGCAATTTAAACCTCACAGGGCGTTGGCATTTCTGTGAGTGCAGGGAAGCACGAAGAGGAAGAAGAACAAGAAACCATCTGCAATTTAAGTGTAACAGAAAGATGCTGTGATAAAAATGTCACTGTCTCTGTTTTTAAAAAAGATCAGAAAATGGAAAGAAAGGTGACTGCATTGTGTTGAATCCTTGTGTGTCTGAATGTGTTTGTTTTTGCTTTGATCAATTTGCTTTGCTCCTGAAGGTCCTTGAATCTAACCCAAGGCTTCTTTTTTTTCTGTCCTCATTGATTTAACTGACTGATGAAGTGCTCCTTGATCCAGTCAGGAGAGAAAATACTGACCACCACCATGAAACCCAACCACAAGGGACTGAACTGGAGACGAGAGAGAGAGAGAGAGAGAGAGAGAGAGAGAGAGAGAGAGAGAGAGAGAGAGAGAGAGAGAGAGATGGAAGCCACTATTGTGGTTGAATCTCAAGTGCATCCATCCACTTCTCCTGTTTGTGTAGCAAAGATATCACTGTGTGTTAGTGTGTTTATGGCCTTCTGCCTGCATGACTCCAGGGTGTCAGTCAATCAATCAACCCTCATACTGTACACCAGAAGCCCAGATGGTTGCCCTCGGCTTCTTGTCGATACATTTTGCAGCTGTTTTCCACTCTCATACTCGAGCTGAGCCATATCTGCCACAGACATGAGCCGCTTTCACAGGGAGTAAAATAAATCACCATAAAGAAATGTGTGATAGGATGATGGCCGCCAGGTGATATATGTTCTCTGTGTGAGCTCTTATTATCATTATCAAAAAAATAAGTAAACCAGGTGGCCAGCCAGGAGCTTCACTGAGAAATACATGAGCTGCAGACTTAATCAACAGATTGTGTGGTGGCGGGAATGTGGTCTCTGCTTCTGGTGGGAATAAAAGGTGTGTAGCCAAGGGAATAAACACTGAGTTTTTTGAATAAATATGCCAGTGGCGAGGTCAGGGGAGGAAATGAAAAGGCAATATTAAAGCATACTTACATATTTACAACTCGGGTCTTACTTTCATCTGCCTTCATTTCCTATCAGTTATGATAACAGTGAACCTACCAAAGTAAATCCTGAGACATGTAGGCACATTGATGCACCCAAGTGTGAGCAAGCAAGACACACAAACAGTCACACCATCAATTCATCTTTACGCATGGAGGCCGTGACAAATAAACACAAAAATGCAAAATACTCGGCTGTGGATATTTTGCATCAAAGTTATTCATACCAGCAGCGGTGCATATTTGAAACTGTTTTCAACAAAATGTTCTCATAGATTTGCGTAGGCAGGGGACCAACTAGATCCTATTGACCTACAGCAGCGCCTGACAGTCTGTCTGAGGCAAACTGTTGGATAGCCTGAGCTACCGTAAGATACTGAGTGAATTTGAGTTTCCTCTGGTAAACAGTTACACAGGGAATATTTCAAGGGCATTTATTGTGAAAGGTAAGAACAGAGGGAGTAGATCTCACGTGCTGCCTTTGTCAAGGCTAAATGGAGTAGCTAGCAAACCGTCGTGGTTTCGGACCGTAGGTGCCTCCGTGTTGTTGTTCAATATAGAATAAGCACAGTGTGATTTGCAGATGCCCTTATTCGTGGTGCAAAGCCTAACAGGGGTATGTGCCGATCCATTTCTTGACCGGTGGTGGATATAGATTTTGTTACTTTCAGACTGCGCCGGGCTAGATCGATCTTTTCATCAAAATACTCCGCAAGAAATATACATTTCATCCTTCAACAAGTAGCCAAACTCTGATTTGGAGAAATTTAAAAAATCAACAGCTATCTTAGCATCTTTGCAGAAAAGCAATATGGTTTACACATTCTTACTATTGGCAATAGAAGCGGTGGTCAAAACTACAAAAATAAGACCCACATTGCATAAAATCTGAATTATCACTGAAGCCTATTAAATCAAAATTGGGTTTTTTGTAGAATAATATCAATTAATTACAATGAATATACAGATACATGGATGACAAAACATCTGAAAACAGGCATACAACGCTAACCTGTTGGGCTGAGAGTTACGGTACTGATGTTGACTCCGCCTCTGCTGCTCTCCTCCTCCATGTTGCCAGGTAACAGGGCCCCTGACCCCACAGCGTGAGACCAAGCAGGCTCCTCCACATCTGGGGGTCCCGACAGTAATGGAGGATGATCCAGAGAGCTGTTCAGAAGTGCTTTCTCCACTGGGATCCAGTGGGACGATGTCAGGGACTTAGTGGAGCTGTCCTGGATGTCTGAGCGAGTAGATGGAGCTGGGTCTCCTGATCCGGCAGTTTGAAATGGGGAACGGGGGGATGATGGTGAGGTCGAGAGGGATGGGGTTTGGGAATTGGATGAAGGTGAGGAAGTGGGTGGAGATGGGGATGGGGAGGAGGAAGATGGACTAGACGGGGATGGGGAGGAGGAAGATGGACTAGACGGGGATGGGGATGGAGATTGGGATTGGGATTCAAACAGGGATTGAGATGGGGATGGTTGGGAGGAGGGAGATGGGGACGCAGTAACAGAGGACAAAGGTGATGGAGATGAGGAGAGGGTTTGGTATGGATCTGGTAAGCTTGATGGGGATGGGATTTTTGCCGGTGAGGTGGACGGGGATTCAGATGTAGATAAGTCAGCCCTTTCCGACCCAGTTGTGGTCATCACTGTGAGCTCCAGAGGACTAGCAGTAGTAGTGGTAGAAGCGGTAGTGGTGGACTGTCCCTTCCTGTGACCCCTGTCTCTAGATCGTTCTCTGGATCTTTCTCTTGGTTTGCTTGTTCCAGCTGGTCGACGTGAAACTTGTATCTCCCCTTTTGCTTCTGCTCCAGTGATTTCTCCACTCCCCTCTTCTTCTCCTTTCCCTTTATCCTCTCCTCTCCCCTTCTCTTCTCCCCTGTTCCTGTCCTCCCCTCTGTTCTTCTTCCCTCTTCCTCTGCCTCCTCTACCGCTGCCTCTGGAGGTTACCGTCTCCTCCCTCTTGTCACCCGGCTGGGTTGTGGTCGCTGATTCAACACGGACCCATGTCTCCCCTTTGGATGAGGTGATTCCGGGTGCAGAGCTGGAGGCGGTGGACGTGTGCGTATCTGAAGTCTCCCAGCTCTTGGTGCTCTCTGTAGTCATAGAGTTACTGGAGGCGGCCAAAGTAGATGCCAGACGAGTGGGAGATTCTTTACTGGGTGGTGTAGAATTTTCCCTTGTGGTGCTGTTGAACCATGAACTGCCCCAGGAAAACAAACCTGCAGAGGGCACAAAACAAATAAAAAAGAAAAGAACGCGTGAAGTCAGGGGTCCAATTTTGCAGACAGAGAGAATACTGCAAAAAACAAAGCCAAGAGTGACTAACAAAGCAAAAATCTTCTTATGGATTCACTTTGCTTTGCCAAGGGAGACAAAACCAACACTTCTAAGCTGTCTGAGCTGTCCGTCAGCTGTTTTTCCTCTATCACTGTACCAGCACCGTCTACACTTCAATGAGGTCAGCTAGCAAACCTCTGTGAACACTGTAAAGAAAAACATTTAAAATAAATGTCTGAACATTTCCCAATACAGTATGTATGCATTATTGTCACAGGGATATGACCACTGAACACAGTAGCGATCGATAAGCAATGGCAAACATTTCATTACTCACCTGTCTCACTGCCAATCAGCAGAAAGTGCTTGTTTGAAACACACAACATTCAGCACTGTGAGCCTAACATAACATAACGCCGTGTTCATGTCATATCAGAGTAACTTCTGACTTGAAGTTGTAATTACAGCAGATTAAATGCCATTTATTTTTCCTGAAAGCTCAGGCATGTTCGACTTGACACTTAAAGGAACAGTTTATTTAAAACAGCCACTGTTAACTACAACAAATAAACAAATGACAAAGACAACACAGACGTAGGTGAAGGTTTAAAACCTCTCTGCACCCACATTAAGACAAAAACAAATGCAGTCAGGTGAAACAGAGTGAAACTAAAGACCACCACAGCCTCAGAATTAAATCAACAACTCTGTAACACAGTTTTAACAAACACTAAATGGATGCCTGCCATTTGGAAACCACTTTCATCCTCATAAAATCACATACAGATAAACCTGCTGCACCCAGAGACAGGAAAGAGGAGTAGCCTACAGTTTGATGAGTTGGATTTAACTCTTTTTCCATCATCTCTCTCTTTGAAAGAGACCTGATTTAATGTAGAAACCTCATCATAACTCTACTGTAATGAAACTCATCTTGTGTAACAGCAGCGTCAATCCACATAAAGCTGAACCACCTCAGGCTTCTGAAGACCGCTTTAAGTACAGTATTGCACCCGATTCAATGTCGTAGGCCTACTTTACAACATACACAGTAACATAAAGTCTGTAGTCTACAGTTTGTCCCGAAGTAAAAACACAAATGTACCCCATAGTTATTCTGGATCAATGTAGTTAGCTTTTTCCTTAATTTGTTAACATCTGTACCCCTCCAGTGTAAGTAAGTAAGTAAGACTGTATTCACATAGCACCTTTTTTAAACACAAAGTGCTTAGAGTAACAAAGAAAACACAAAATACAAGAAAAAGCAAATACACTTAAGAACACACAAAGTATACAGCAACTATTAACCCCACATATATATTATAGAAAAATGAAATGATATGAAATGATATGAAATGATAGAAAAGCCAACTTTTCTAGATGTTTATCGATTTCGCGTTTGGCAAGGGTATAGCCAACAGGTTTTGGTTGGACAACCTAAGTGGACGCTCGGCGGTGTAAGGATTTAGTGACTCGGAGACGTTGACAGGGCTCGGCCAAGGAGTCTCTTATAAGTGATTAAAATAATCTTAAATCAGTCCTGAACTTGACTGGCGGCCAATGCAGCAAGGCTAGGAGTGATATGAGATCTACAGCCTTAGTGAAGAGCCTAGCTGCTGCATTTTGTACAAAGTAGTCTTCAATAATTTTGAAATAAATCACCACAGATTTATGAAATACAGGACTCATTACCTTTGTCTTCCCTAAAACTTCTAGCTTTATTGCTAAGTAATGGTCAGTTTAAAAATACAAAAAGTATACATTATTTTCACATGTTATCGAATAAAATAATATAATTATAATAATACTACATCTAAAGCCCTGATAGGAGACTTTTAAATAAATGTCCTGCTCATTTGGGTATGAGTAATTCCTTTCTTATTAAGCTGATCAGATAAATATCAGTGTTTATACTAGCGTTTGTTTGTGTTACCATTTTATTCGTACCAACAATTTTTTTTTTTTAACTATTTATATTGTATCCCAATACTAGGGAAATCCCAGCTGGAGCTCGTCAGCTGTCACACCTGGGGCTTTTCTCATTTCTCGATTTTGTGCCTCGTTCCTCCAGCTTGTGACCCGGAAATCATTGTCAGTGCTCCATCTTGAAGGACGTCTCAATTCCTAAAATCCATCTTGAGGAGCGAGGAGGCTTGCCGGGGGGGGGGGGGGGGGGGCAGTAAGTGAGGAAACACCAGCGCTTCCTTTTTGGAAGTTTTATATATACATACAATGTATGTCACTTTATTTATACAATACTTTTCATACAAAGAAAGAGGTGATGCTGGACACACTCCTTTTGTTCTCCTCACTGCAAGGCGTCTGCTCTCCCAGTTACGCCTTATTCATTCTGTGTTTCTCTAATGATCTTCATTCCTGGGGCTTCCTTGTACTGCAATTAATGTACCATCCTGTTGTGTTTCCCCAACATCACAGACCAATTACTGCCTCAACAGCAATATGTTCAGAATACTGTACATGCTCATAATTATACACTGCCGTCAAGCCTGGTTGCTTTATAACTCAAAATCTGTGACCGTGGTCCTTTCCAGACTGCTTACTGTGCTAATAATAAGGTGTACTGGATTGTGTTAACACTGGAAAAGTTAAAAAATGTAGTATACTCAAAGATGTCAGTTGTGTCAACTGAATTGACTTAATTTCTGTTTTGCTTTTTTACAGATTTTCCTCCGTTATCCTCTTTTCAGAGATGTATTCACTCATAAGCTCTCTCAGGGAGGTTACTCTAGTCTAGATGATCGACCATACAAGTTATATAAGTCCACTCACTTGGTGATGCTGCACTGGATGAATTTGACCCATCATCTGTCTTTTTCGTGGCCATTTCGTCTTCCCCTGCTTGTCTTGGTGCTTGGGTTCCTTCCTCATCTCCAGTCCCCGCCAGGTAGTTCCAAGGCTTCCAAATGGACTTGATGATCTTTGAGATCACCTTAAAAATATAAAGTGGACGCACGGAAAGTTAGCTGACCCAGTGATGCTATTCTTGTTTGTTAAATTTCAAAATAAAAGCTTGAACCAGGACCCACCTTCTTGTCAGCAGGAGTAGGGTTGACCGGCGGTCGGAGAAACTCCTCAGAGTCGGGGCCAGGCTCCAGCGGCTCTCCCCAGTCTAAGAGGTTCTGTCCTGGGATCAGCCGGAGGGTCACAAATGACCCTGAAGATTCTGAGGACCAGGGGTCTGAGGCTGAGGACACAATCAGTCGGATTATAAGCAAACATCTACATTCTGTTGCGATCAATAATCGATTCAATATTAGAAAGCAGCCTTACATGCTTCAGTGCTGCGGACGGAGGCCACGTCTTCTAGTTCAATCGATCCTGTCCAGTTTGATGGTGAAACATCACCGGCATCTGTGGACCCTGCAAGGATGAGTTTGCAAAAACATAGCTATTGTAAGTACAGTCCTACTCTATTTGTGTTTACGGATTGGATGGTTGATCCTCTGATTAATCAGCTGGTCCATGCTGTTACAGATCTGCTCAAGGTAGAGAAATGTGAAACCTCCGGTAGTGGTGGTTTGCTGTGTAGTCGCGTCTGGACTGCCCGTCCTTGTGGAGTCAGCATCACTTAAGCCTGCGAGGTAGCTCCAGGGCTTCCACAGGGAGGTGTAGATCTGAGAGATGGAGCCTGAATTCTCCACTTTGCCTGAGAAAAACGTTGAGGAGATTTGCTCGTTCACATGGCTATTGTTGAAGGATCTTACGAAGTTGGACCAAAAAGTTTGCTGTGTTTTAATTTTGCGGAAATTGGCCAATATCAGTCAACACAGAGAACACAAGCTGAGCTTCTTTAACTTCAACACATCCTGTTCTCTTTTTCTCTCTCAATCCAGCAGACAAACATGTGACCGTGTGATAGATCACATAAGACATTATTGTTGCCATAGCTACAACAGTGCCAATGACATTTACTGTGATTGTAACTAATTGCACTCAAAGCTTCCACAGTAACATCAACACCTCTGTTAAGAGTGCTTAAGGATTGTCGCAATAGACCGGTATTGATGACAAGCAGGATATTTAAAAAATGAAATATTGACATCATGTGAATAATACACATATGATGATATAACGTAAATACTGCAGCACCTCTTAAATCATATATATATGATGTATTATATACTATTATAAGAGTCTTTCTCCACCTACACTCGTATTTTGAGTGTAATTCATTTGCCAACAAAAGACACGAAATGCTCAATAAACAAAGTTAAAGATGAATATGAATTTGAACTGATAGCATTATTTGTTTATTTTAAATGTTCTATAGATTTAGCAATGATATTGTTCAGGTGAATTGTTTTGGCCATGATAATGCAGCGAAAACGTGGCAGCCATAACATGTATCCATATTGTAATGTTTCAGCCTGCACACATTTCAATTTAATGTTGATGTGAAGCATTATTTCATATGGTTATGATCATTGAGATTATTCTGTACATTCACTGTATATATATGTATATGTCTGTGTGTGTATATATATATCTTAAGGTACCTCTGTAGCAGTACGCATCATATAGCATGGTGGTGTTGTCCGCAGTGCTGTTGGGTGCGACGGTGTGGACTCCTGGCTGGCTCCCTCCACAGTCCGGGCGAGGCAAGGTCACCGGGTAGCGCACGCTGCCATCAGACAACCAGCCCGGTGCGCAGCTGTCCAGGCCGGCCTTCCAGGCCAGATAAAGCTGTCCCACTGTGGCCAGCTGCCCGCCGAGGGACACACAGCGGTCTGATGCCGACGGCAGAGACAGCCTGCCCGGGACTGCGGAGTGAAAGACTTCACCTGGAGTACGGAGACATGAGACATGAACTTGTCAAGAGGACGTCTGTCGGATTTCTAGCGGGAAAACACTTGCATGGGTTGAGCACTGAAATTACATGTTGACATCACACATAATAATTATATTGGTATGTAAAGGATAAGGATGGTGATATTATGTCTTTGTTATGTTATCTAGACGTAAATATTTAAAAACAGAACAAATGTATATAGTTTCATTTTTTTAAAAGGCTTGATTTTAAGCAAAGGTTGCTCAGACAGGTGTAATTGATGAATGTATTACTTTCAACCGTGGATTAATATTGGTTGCAAAAGCAAGTTTCTTTGGTTTTTCACTTTATTGAACTTTAAAAATAATGAAAAGATTCTCACCGGTCCTTTAATATTGCAGCAGAATATGATGTGTGGTGCTATTTTTATGTGTTTTGTGTGCATGTGTGTGTGTGTGTGTGTGTGTGTGTGTGTGTGTGTGTGTGTATACCATCCAGTTCTTTTGCCAAACAGTACACATCAAACAGTTCTTTGGGGTCCCTCTTCCCATAGTTCCTCACTCCAGCTGAGTACTCCTTGTGTCCATAGCAACCAAGCCCTGGCAACTGGACCGAATAGCTGTGAAGAAAACCATGCGGGCATCATAAACGGGAACGAACCTTTTATTTGACAAATTATAGGAAATAAGTGACAAGGTCTTGTGGACATTTTCCCGTATGAACATTATCTCAGCTCACATATCAAAGTGTTTGTTCTCATTTTCAAGACTTTAAATGTCAGTTAAGAATAAATTCGAATTATTAATCTCTTTTAAAGGGCAAGAGATTAAAATAAATTGAAATACAATCAGCAGCAAAAAAGAAGAACATGAATCTGAAGCAGATGAAGTTACAAAACAGAAGAACTGAATATTAATTGACAGTAGATGAACAAACTGTACACGAAACAAAGCAAATGTCTTCATATTATATGGGAAGAGGGTTAAGATTATATGCAGGTTTAGTGATACAAGTTATAACTAAGAACGGTATGATAAATTTCTCCAACACACAACATTGCATCAAAAAATGCAGCTCGGTCAGTGGCACTAAGCTTCAAACTATGAAGGTCGTTGTCCCACTCTGGGTCAATATTTGCTTGTTACAAAATAAACTTTTTACAGGAATTTAGATTTAGGCTACAAAACCACTTTAGGAAAAGAGCGTGGCTGACCTTGACTGACTAGCGACACGTCACAAAATGTCAACGTTAACTTTTGGTTTCGCACGGGACACATACAGCGGCGTCCTATAAGTCCTGTGTTTGTTAGACATCCATCCACCTCCCCTCAATGAGTTACGGTGTCAAAGGCCGAGCAGCAGAGACCAAGCTGCGTTATTTGACATGTTGGGAGTGAGAACGGGTTGACCACTAGCAGCCAGTTAGCTTAGCTTAGCATAAAGACTGGAGACAGGGGGATCTGGCTCTGTCTAAAGATAAAAATCATCTACTTGCACACTATTTCCACCGGTTTCCAGCCAGTCTTGCTAAGCTTCGCTAACATGTTAGCTTTATATTAACCATACAAATGTGAGAGTATTTTCATTCTTCTCATCTAACTCAAGAAATAAATGTGTTGAACTATTCCTTTAAACAATGTTTTTTAAATGAATGGGTTCCATTAAATATCCAAGGTTCAGCAAAAAAAGTAATTTGTTTATGAAAACCTGGACTAATCAATCAATTGAGAAAATATTCTGCAGATCAATCGCTACTGACTATAATTGTTAGTTGCAGCCCTGATATAAAGCGGAACAACTAGTAAGCAACAAGGGTGAGGTGACAAACAGAAGGAAGTTATTGAACGTCTCCTCACCGGACAGTCTGATCATCCAACCAGCCGGCTGCACAGCTGGCAAAGCCGTCAGAGTGCGCTGCCCACAGCTGGGCCGGTGTGGCCATCTCAGCCGAGTTTTCCTGGCAGGCCCGCTGAGCATCGGCAAATGAGAGGGCGTATCTGGTGCTGGGAGCCTGGTAGTGAAACACCAGACCTATACAGGTACACGCAGGGACATGTGATGAGATGGATGTGAATTTATTTAAGAGATACACCAACACAGCCGAGTTTAAAACCAATAAATCAGTGGGAGGTAATCAGTAAACATGTTATTGTGGCCACAAACAGATCGATCTAATACTATGCGAGTTTCAGCTGAAACTTCACAGATGGGCACACAGAAAAGTGATCATTGGTATTCAGTCTAAACTCTTTAACTAAAAGAATTACACAATCACTCGAGTGAAAAACTAGATAAAAAACAACACAGACACAGAGAGCAGCGGGCTACATTAATTAAGTCAGTCATTTTGATATTGATATGGTGAATCAATGTTATTAATGTTTAATTAAACAAAAAAGCTGAGAAAGGTTGGCAGAGCTCCTGTTTTCAGGCTACCATTATCTAACTGATTAGCAATCCTGGAATGCAATAAAACACAAAATGTGTCCTTAAGGGAGTTAGGGCACTAAACTTTTCTCACAATGAGCGGCTGCTGCACTTACCGGAGACCACCAGGGGCACCGTGTCTCGCTCATATTCGTTACCCAGGACAACCTGACAGCGGTAAGTGCCCGAGTCGTTGGTCCGGAGGCTGGAGATCTCCATGGTAGCATTCAGAGGGTTGGCAGTGTATCCTGGCAGCGTGACGCGGCCACTGAAAGCCTTATTCACCTTGATTACATCACCTTTGGCAGAGAAAGAGAGGTTTCTTCATTATAAGTGTCTATTGGCATCCTGCAGATTTGAGCGATAAAGCATAAATTTCCCACAAACAACTTTTGTACTTTTGTTTTTGCTTTTCCCACTGGTTGGAGGACGGCGGGGCTCATTTGGAACAATGTGATGTCACATACTTTTGTGGACCAATCAAAATTCAACACTTGAATGGTGTGGTTTGATCACTTTGATCACAGCAGAGTAGCTCAGTTTTTTTCATTTTTGACTTTACCTTTAAGAGTTTCTTTATTTGTCATTAACATTTGGCATTGTAGAAGAAAGAATATCAAACGTTTTCAAAAACTTTAAAATTGTATCAACAATTTTATTTAGTTTGTGAGGTTCCATTTAAAGTAAACTTTTTAGAGCCTTTTCACTGAAAACAGCTGCCTTCTACATTTGAAACCCAGGTTGATTAGCGGTGAGACTGAACCAAAACAGTAAATTTGCTGGTTGTAAAACCAAAACAATGAACTGAATGACACCAAGTCTTTCAAGGGGCCTGATATAGATGACTTCAATCTGTGCCAGCAATGACATTGCTAAAAATCCTTCCACTCAGGGAGGTTTGGAGCATTTACAAGTACAGCGGAAAATCTCTACTTCGAAGATTTATCTCACTTTAATTCCAGGAGCTTCTTTTGTCAGTTCTTGGTCATTTGTTTTACTTGTGAGGCCTTCAGATTAATTCATTAAATAGGTTCATTAAATCAGGTGACGTTTAACGATGACATTTTACTATTAATATGGAAATATTGAGCACCTTTTACGTGCACTTTCTAAGCATTCTAAGAAATGTTATCTGACTGAGAGAAGTAGAGTGACCCACTATAATAATTAACAGCTAGACCACGTCATCGTGTCTCTGTGTTACCTTTAGCAGAGAGCACAATCTGCTCCAGAGGAGCACCCTCTCCTTTTGCTGGTGCCCTGATGCGAGTCCACAGGAGGTGGGAAGGCTGGCTGAAGGAGCTGGTCTGAAGGGTGAAGAAACAGGGGAGGACGGCGTTGCCTGCCAGCGTTTGTTGTACAGTAGGATGTGTGATCCTACGCATGTTCACTATGGAGGAGGCTGCACCTACAGAGGACGAACAAGAGAACAGGACATCGTTACATTATGCAAGTAAATATGTTGGAGGGTATGTTGCAAGGGAAGAAAACAATGAGCAATACACTTTCTGACAGATATGAATAAGGCTGGTGTTTGATTATAGGGTAAATGACAAACAGTATTCTATACAAAGAAAGTGTCGGCTGTTCTCTAGCTTCTAACCAAGGTGCCTGCTACAGTAACAAGTCCTCTGGGGTTCATTAGCAAGTTCACACTCATTCCAGCAGACGAACATAGCGCTGACCTATTATAAGGATCCTCTCACAGACAATTATATACACATAGACAAGAGTACAAAGACACACAAGTTACAACAGTGGCTCACAGGCTCCAAATTACAACGTACTTACCTCTAACCTATGTTTTCTCTCTCCGCGTTCACATAAATGACTGCAGCTGTCACTCAAACTAATTGATTGAAAGTAATTTCATGCAAGAGAAGCATCAATGTAAAGTCAATGTCACCGTGTGCGGCAATTTCTTGGTAACGCAGATTGATATCAGCAACTCACTCTGTCTGGTTGCCATGACATGCAGGTTCAATGTAACCATGACAACAGGATCACCTGTACAGACATTATCTGCAAACCAAATCCTGCCTTTTTGTGGCTTTAACCTGCGTGCACCTGACCGTCACATACCGAGCAAGAATATGTTATAAAATCTTTAACAAATGTCCCCTTGCAGGATGAATAAAGTGTCTATCTATCTAAAAGGTAGAAATTGTAATTTTCTTAAACATAATAAAGACCTTTTCTATAAAGTAATTTCCTCAAAATGTAATTTTAAGGAAAAGCGAGTTATTGCCATGATGACTGATCATACTCTATCTATTTCCATGAAGATTGTGCGATGCAGTGGAAACAACTAAAGGACCTTCAATTAAAATGCATTTGTTGCTAATTTTTTTTTTTTTTAAAAACAACGATCAAAAACAAATAATTTATAATCATTTATAATTTATAGTGAGTTAGTTGATGCTGTCATACTGAGCTGTATGCTGTGTGCATTAGAAAGTGATGCCATAGTCCTGACCAAGCATCAGTATGTGACGAGATGGGAGGAGAACGTGCTGGTGAGGCGCGATCGTCTCTGGCACATAAGAAGACGAAAAGGCAAAAGACATAATTACAAAGCTTAATAAGGATTTTCACAATTGTTTTCTTTTGTGGTCCTCTTCATTCAAATCCTCACCATTAGTGAAAAGCACCAATGTGTAGAAAACTAATATGAGCGTAACAAGAGGTGCTGTGTAACAAAACAAAAAGAAATGCCTTATTTGGAATATTGCACATGGTGGAATTAAATCCTTCAAAAGATATTTGCATCTGCATTTAGATTGGACTGCTTTCACAAGCTGAACCCCCCGAGAGCATCTCTCTCTGCCTCCGCCGCCTCCGCCGCCTTCCCCCCAAATCAGATGTAATCTCAGAATAACAAATACCAGCGAAAAGCAGGAGAGCCAGAACAAGACAGGGAGCAGGAATGAGAGAGGGATGGGGGAAGAGAGTAAATAATAGGGAAAATCAAAGATGAGGATGGAGGATAAGAAGGAGTCTAAGAAACTGAATGGAGCAAATTGAGAGACTTTGGATGACAAGTATGCCCTGTAACATGGTGGTGACAGATGGGACAAAAGAAATACAACCTAAAAGGAGGAAGAGAGATCTGGAAGTGACATGAAAGGACACTCTCTATCATTAACAGATGCCTTTTCTTATTGCTGTGAGTCCTCCTCTAGAGTCCAGTGAGCTGTCCAATAAAGACAAACTGCAAGGAGGCTTTCAAGGCCAATGACAGTGTTTAATAAACAGAACTGATTGTGCTGGCTCAATAAATTTGATGATTTCATGCTTAGAATAATATTGCTTACAAACATGTAATAAGGACATACTAATTAATACTACCACAGCGACTCATGTGGTAGGTCTATATTTAAAATGATGAGCATGAATGTAGGAAAGAGTGACTGAAAATCTGAACTAAAGGTCTTCTAACTATTCCTGGAGCTTTAATTGCATCTAACAGACTTCCTTAGCGTGTTTTGAAAAGCACAGAAAAAAACAAATATTTCTTTGTTGTGTAAAGTAATCAATATTGTTCCACCATTTATTCGGTTCAAGAGTATTTATGCTAAGCTAAGCTGACTGGTTGCTGGCGCGGTAGTTTCATGTTTACCGTACAGACATGAGAGATCTATCAATGACCTAATCTAACTCTCAGGAAAGCACATAAATGTTTTTTTATCCCAAAATGTGGACCAACTCCTTTAAGCAGAGGAAACGTGTACATCAGATTGATAATATGATCACATTTAGGAGGCTCCTTCAACTGCAGAAAATGTAGCTGTACACAACTGGTGCACTGTATCTCTTGTGGCATTTTGTATCCCACAACCTATGTTACTGATAACTGGCTTATTCAGGTGATTCTTATCAACTCACGAAGTCAGGAAATATCAGGCGAGCATGTATTTACCAGATATTCTCTAGCGATGGGCATCTGCCACAGAGTTGTGATAGCATCAAGAGTTGCCAAGGTCAAAACGTGATTAAATCCAAAACAAACAGCTTTAAACTCCACTTGTTCTTGTTAGCAGACTGAATATATTGTGCACTACACGTTACAGAGCAGATGGATACGCAGTATGTATCATTAACCTGGTACATTGCTTGCCAGCTGTCCATCATCACAGCTCACACAGTAAACTCTGTGATCCAGATGTCCCAGTTTGGTATATTGTGGTACTTTGTTGACTGCTTGAGGGCAACTTTGTGGTGATGAACTTGAAAATTACTGATTCAAAAGTAAAATAATATCAATGTTTTAACAGCTTTTACAACTTAAGAATGTTGTCTTGTATCTTGGAGTAATAGCAGGTTCCAATCTTTTTTTAGTTTTTTTTTTAGTAGTACTTGGATTATTTTGTTTACTTTTGGAGGCCGGCGCTTGTGCAGCAAAAACAAAAACATGACTGTGTGGAGTAATAACTTTCTGCAGCCAGAGCATAATGACCATTAAGGTATTGTTTTTTTGTTTCAATTTTGGAAATAAGTGATGCAGTTTCTTCTTGTAATGAAAATCCACACTAAACAGCTATCTTGCATGCCAATTGCAGGAAAAGTAATTAAGGAGAGGAACTTATCTTTACCGCAGGCAGTCAGCAGACTGCACGTGGGGCCTCAAACCTGCGGCTCTGAGATGTTTTGTCTTTTTGTTCCATAATTGGGAATTTTATGCATAGTTGTAATGGAACAGATGGTCGACTAAACTTACAGAAATGGGCTTGGAGGTGTTCCAGCTCAGTCCCACCGAGCGTGTCTGAAAACATCCTCAGCATGTCAGCTCTTACTTACAACACTCAAATTAGTGCAGACCTGTCTTGTGTATTCATGTCTATGGAAAATGTATGTGGGAACTGATGTTTTTTACATATTCTGGTCCAGCTGCTCCTTCCCTCTTTCTTTTTACTTGTGTGCCAACATTAATTTGTCAAATTTTTTTCCTTCAGATCATAAACTGCTGGTGAATTTCTGTAGCACACAGAGATGCAACAATTTAGGAGGAAGACAACTTACCCGAGCTTAAATAGAGCAGCAGCATCAGGGCAAGGAGGATCTGCTGCCCAGCGGCACACAGACTGAGGGCCATCCTGGACCTGCAGAGAGAGAGAGACAGGGTAGAAATGTAAAGGTTTATGTACTGCAAATATTTGTTTATCTTTCAGTTTAGCTGCAGCTATTTGAGTTGTAAGAATCTCCATCTTCCTTAATGTAAGCATATTATCATCAAAAAGTATTTCTTCATCCATAGTCATACAATAAGATAATTCATCTGTGCATGCATCTGTGTCCAGTGCTGTCACCCTCAGCATCAACATGCATACAATGTGTGTTTGTTTACAAACAGTAAGAAAGAATGATGTGAGTCTGCCATGTGAATAAAACAGCTGAACATAATGTAGATTAGCATAACATGAAGTCTGTTTTACTGCCATAAAGCTGCATGATCGTACCAAAAAACATCAAAAATATTTTGGTCAATAATTCCCAACATCGGACGTACAGTCATGTACAGAACCTTCTGTACTGAATTAGATCTATGTGGTATTTTCTGTCAATGAAACTTCTAAATTCCGTGTATATATGTACGTATGTGTGTGTGTGTGTGTGTGTGTGTGTGGGGGGGGGGTGAATGTGAGAGAAATTGTAAACTGCTTTGGGTAAAAGTGTGATATAAATACAGTCCATATTCTGTCAGGTGAAAACAGTTTGGTGATTGAATGGCAGATTGCCAGTACAAAGCTCCCCAGCTTGGTTTACAAAAACCTTTTCAAAACCAATTAGACCAACTCAAAACCAAAGTACTGCCTTCTTCTAACTCTGTTGGTGATGTTCACATACACGCACAAATACATGCCACTCATCTTGAAGAGCTGACCGTCCACTATGAAAGTGACTTTTACAGGTGGTAAAGAAGCAGCATGACATCTTACATACACAAAAACGAATGCTGACCTTCACAAGGTTTTTGAATGAGCAGATTACTTGTACTTTATTTTGTTTTCATCCTATCTATTGGGAGTCATTGCACTGTGGCCACACCTATAAAATAAAGTACCCCAACATTGCCTTGAACATTGAATCCTTGAAAAGCCGATCTCAGGCAAATGAGGTGATTTAGTAGCATGCACACTGTATCACAGACAGGGACGGATAATGTATCATGTCCATTGTATTTATTGGTGTTATAATGTAAAAAAGAAATAAACAATATTGCATATTTAAGGGCACTTAGAGGCCAGTTGACGGACTTGTATTTAGTGCTTTCCATTTAGACAGTCTTTGTCCACATATATTTACATTTTTCACCCTCTCTGCCTGAGCTACCACTGTCTATTTAACTAATACAACATTGTCATCCAGTACTGGTCTTATACCTGGTGGAAACTGGCCATCAGACGGTGTTAAGTCTGATCACAGAGTGATACATCAAATGCAGAATCATGATTCTTAAGAGAACCACTCTTGAAGTAAGAAAATGGATTACGTTTGAGCACACCACAGTGAAAAAAGTGATTCTGGTGCATTCCTACTGCACAGCATAGAGGGAATCCTACCACACATCAGAAATGAGCTGTTGACATTGCCAGAGGATTTGGCTCAGGGCCCAAAGCTTCTCAGCTCAATGGAGAGACGCCTGAGACAGAGCTTTATTGCCCCGTACTGGTATTAAATGAAGAAGAGAGTTGTTTGAAGAAAACAAGCTTTGTATTATAATGCTGATTAAGGGGAGCTAAGCAACATAAATAAATCCAAATGATGTATTTACAAAATATTGGTTCTTTATACCTTCCTGACTACAAAGGCATCATCAACAGAGGCTTGCAATAGACCATATGAAGAATTTTAAGTAGCTGGAGCAGAAATGAATCCAACATGTTTGGACTGTCTAGAGTTAAGTATTAATTTATCCTGGAAAGCAAAAGACCTCTTTCAATTCACCAAGGTAACAGCAACTGATGCTCAGAGAGAAGATTACGCAACACCAGTTCAACCCCTTATAAATTACAGGAATAATGGTCGCTCTCTTCTCTGACCATGTGAAAGCTCAGTAAAACCTTCAACCGTATAAAACTGGAGCATGTGAGGCAAAGCAAAACATTCCTCGCAGATAAGTAAAGCGCCATGTGACGCCTGCCAAACTATACTGCCATTAAACAACAATTTGTTGAGTGATTTTTAAATGGTGGGCAATCAAGTTGATGTCTGGACTCTTGGAAAAGGGGGGATTCTGGTGCGGGTGGGACCCCACTGTGCCACACACTTTGAGGCATCCAATTTCTGAAGGTGGGTTAGGACCCTGTGATGGGCTGTGACAGATTGGGGTTGAGCTGTTGGACTCTCTGCATGTTGAAGGCCTGAACCATTGGTGGAGCTAGCTGGGTGGGTGACAAAATATTTCTAAAGGCTTGGAGAGGGTCATGACATCGAGGAGTTTGCCCAGTCTTGTAAGAGAGAGCGTTAGAGAGTGTTGTATTGGAGGGCCAGGGACTGGCAGGGGCCCAGCAGCCACTATCCACAGCAACAGAATACAGAGTTCAGCCTATGACATCTCTATGGATGCTATACAACATATAACGCTGTGTGTGCTCTATAGATAGCCGCCTTTCAAAGTTTTACCAGAAGGGATTTACAACATACAGTGCACTGGCCAGCCAATCACACCGGCCGCATACTAACCAGTACCACCTTTTGTTAAGGAGGAGACATCAGATGTCGTGAACGCCTCCCTCTAAAAAGCCACTCTTCACTTTCACAGGCACAGCTGTGTCTTGAGGAGAAAAGAGCCAGAAGTCTCTAAAATGCTTCAGTAAACTTCAATGTGAATGTCCACCCGACACATTTCCACGATGCTGTCTGAATAGGACGCATTCTCAGCTCATTGTAAGAGACGACGAGCGGAGTGACAGAGATCCAAAGAGAGCTAACAGACGAGGCTGGCAGTCCCACATTACGGCTCAGCGCTAAGCTGTCAATCTGTTGAAGCAGGAGACCAACTGGCCTCATGTTCGTCGTGACGCAGGCAAGACGGGCCCCTCGACCCAAATCTCCTTCGGTTCTGCAGCTGGTGGGAAAATAGCTTAAAGAAAAAAACGTGAAAAGTGTGGAACACGTCATGTCAGCTGATAAATCGTGTTCGCAAGCACAGCATTATTCTTACAATGCTTCCATCATGCTACATTAAAGTGTGTGTGTGTGTGTGTGTGTGTGTGTGTGTGTGTGTGTGTGTGTG